ACCTGAATGGTTAGGACAGAAGGCTGTAACTTTCTGCGGAATGGAACTTGCTCTTTTGCCTACCGGGTACAGGATGAGCCAGCGGGCTTACATCAAGGAGCTCCTCAATCGCTATAATGTGGAGGAGACAGCAACGGTACCTATTGTGAAGTGGGTGGAACCGGAACTGGCGAGTGATCCCAGCATTGACCTCGTGAGGGAAGCTCAGGGTTTGACAGGGGCTCTTTTGTGGGTGTCTACCAGGACACGTCCAGATTTGGCATACGTTGTGTCTCGGTGCGGACAACAAGCCACGAAGTCCCCCCAATGGTCGATATCGGCTGGACGCCAAGCTTTGGCATATCTTAAGGGTACGTTGGATTTGTGCATGGAGGTTCCGTTTGTAGTGGGTAATCCTTTTTCGGAGCACGGGTCTTTGGCTCTTCCGCGTACGGAAAAGGTACTGGAGCTATATACGGATGCTTCGCATAGTCCCGGGGGAGACCGCTCGATGCAGTCTATTTTTGTTGTGTGGTGTGGGGTTCCCATTGCTTGGGAATCCTCGAGACAGCCGTTTACGACATTAAGTTCTGCGGAAGCCGAACTTGTGTGCATGGTGCACGGCACCCAATTGGCAGAAGCCATCCAACCGTTGGTTGATGAGTTAGTAGAGTTAGATACGGTTGTGTCTCTTTTGGGGGATAACGAAGCTGCGATAAGATCGTTTGACTCTACTTCGAGTGGGTGGCGAAACCGCCATTTGCGCATGCGTGCCGTAGCAGGAAGGGAGCGGGTCGAGGCTGGTGTGCTTCGTGTGACCCATCTCCCAGGAGAACACCAGGTCGCAGATGTTGGGACTAAGCCTCTGACCCGAAGTAGGCTATTGCAGCTTCTAGGCTTAGTTAATATTCGGTTTGCCGGTTTGGAGGGTGCTGAGGGTGCTAGGGTCTTGAGTAGGCTTAGTCTCCCTTGCGACCCTTTGAATGGATCTGCGGTAGAACTGCTGGCAGGCTTGGCCGTGTTGGCTGCCCTGCCGCAAGTGAAGGGGCAACCGGATGAACCAAGTCTGGACCAGGGGTCTCTTTGGCTTTCGTGGGTTATAGGAGTGATGTGTACGGTTGCTTGCTTAGTCTGCGGGTGGTGGTTTCTTTGGAGAGCAAGACTCGCTCAGCGGACTAGTGTGGTCTCCGTCCTGGGAGGAGCAGAGCCAGGTCAAGGCAATTCAGTTTCGGGGGCTGTAGGGGAGCTGGGGTGTAGCATACCTGAGGCGCCTTCTGAGGAAGTAGAGGTTTCAGCAGGCTCAGAAGGAATTGAGGGTGTTGCACCTGAAGCAGACTCCAGTGATGTTTCTGAGTTCTCCGAAGAGGAGCGGGCTCAGGTTCAGCGAAAGCTTGAAGCGGAAGAGCGTCGCACTGGGTTGACGCTCGTGCAAAGGGCTAGGGTGCGACGTGCCATTACTTCAGGAGGTGTCTTGGATCCGCCGGTAATGCAGCAGAGATTCGGACCCCTTCCGGATTGGCTAGGGGGTGCTAGCTCTAGCAGTTTGGGTGAGGCTGGTTCCAACGTAACTCCAGAGCTGACCGCTGAAGTGTTGGAGCCTACGGTTGTTGTAGATGCCAGTGTGATTGCCGCGCTGTTGGCAAGCCATGGAGAGCTCCTAACCGAGTTCTTAGGGGTACAAGCAAGGGAATGGGCTTTTTTAAGTGGCGCAGCCCGAGCTTTGAGGGTAAATTCGCGGATTACAGTGGTATTGCAGATAAGTGACTCAGGAAGAGAAGGGTCAAGGGCAGGCCAGGGTTGGAGTGTGGAATTGCGGTTTTTAGAGACTAGTGAAGGGACTAGGTGGGTTCCTGTGCATATGCGTCCTCTAGAGGAAGGGTTGGGTTCCACTCAGGAGGATTCGGATGTTCAGCCTGGGGGGAGTGCAGCCAGCTCTAGCAGCCATGTGTATGGTGGTTTCGCTGGCTTGGGTTTGAGCGCCCAGGCTCCTGAAGGTCCCTCTGGTCCAAGTCCTAGCAGCCATGTTCCTGAAGATCCTTCCGGTCCAAATCCTAGCAGCCATCTTCCTGAAGTCCCGACTGGTCCAAGTCCTAGCAACTATGTACCTGAGGGTCCGTCTGGTTCAAGTTCGAGTAACCAAGTTCATGGAGGTCCTGTTGGTTCTAGTCTTAGTGGCTGGGGTTTGAATGTGAGTGGGGTACCCGCGGCCAGTGGTCAAGTCTATGAGGGCTTGGAGATATCGGGTCAAGGGGAATCGCATGACCCCAGTTCGAGCAGTCACGGTATGGCAGCCCAAGCGTGGGAATGTTATGAGGATTGTTTCGAACCTTTGGTTGAGCAGTTTCCTTTGGTAGGAACCTGGTGTCTTGTGCATTTCATGGTACAAGTTCTCTCTTTGGAAGGGTATCGGGTTCTTTGGTTTCTGGGTGAGGGATCTGAAGAATGGTTGATGCTTAGGACTGTATCATTGCACCTAAGGTACGCCTTAGTTCAGGCCTTAGCAGAGGTATGGAGAAAGGGGCCCCAGGGGTACATGTTTCAGGGTCCCCAGTGGCAGGCTTCAGTTGAAGATCATCTGTGTGTAAAGGCAGCGGTGCGAAGAGCAGAGAGGAGGCGGGAGTCCGAAGGTGTGGCTCCTTCCTTTCCTTATGTGCCTTTTCCCCCACCATTTGCGGTGCATTATTTGTGGCGGTTGTTTTCCTTAAATGGAGCATCGCTACTCTCGATGTTGGGTGATAGGGTTGCTGATTGGGCTAGGCTTAGGGAGGTTGCCAGGGGTTTCAGAAGCCATGTCGTACTTGCGTTAGTGCTGTGGCTTAGAAGCACAGGCCCCTATCAGCTAGCTGATGGTACCGTAACTTTCGATGCAGCCTATGCCTATATGCAAAGTGGCCAGAGACGGTTCCCGTTTCTGGACAGGGAAGATGAGGAAATTGACGAACGACCCCACAGAGCCCCTCCTCCGGTGCCCTGGGTTCCTAGGCCTAGGGTATGGGATTCGTCTTCTAGCAGTGAACACGGCACCTCCACTACGGAACCCACCTCAAGTAGGGAAGCGGAATCAGAGTGTGAGCCGGTTTTGAGAAGTGAAGAAGAAGCCGATGAGGCTGTCAATCGACCGGTAAGTCAAGGGTTCTCAGGCTTGAGGTACGAGGCAGAAGATGGTGTTTTGGTTGTCGTTTATGGGGATGATAGGTTGGAGGTACCTCTGGTTGGATGGTCACAAGAGGCCGTGCAGTCCATCGTGACTGGTTTGGAGTCTGGACTTTGGCCTGATTGGAGTGAAGCTCTAGGTGACCTAGGTGTTAACCCCGTTTCAGATGTAGGGTCCCTGGATTGCGGAGTTCATTCAGTGAGACAGTCTGGAGGGTCGGGGGTCCACGGTTGGATGTTTTGGTTCCGTGTGTTATTGGTATTTTGGTCTTGGTTTAGTGTTGTAAGGGGGGCTGAGGTCTCGTTTGATGGGGTTGAGTGTCCCTTTGGAAATAATGATCGAGAGTGTACCACTCAAGTCCTCCAGGTTCGCTCGGTAACTAAGGAGGCCGGCGCGTCTTGGGAAAATGAGGGTTATGGCTGCGATGGATCGACTCTATGGGGGCTTTTTAAGGTTGGAGCCGTTGTAGGACTTTGGGAAATCCTCCGGGCGCTTTGGCGCCTTTGTAGAAAAAAGAGGCTCCTTCGTCGGGACGCGGCGAGTCAAACCGAACGGGATGGTGTCATTGAGATGCCTTTGCCCGTCGGTATTCCCCACAGAGCTCGAATTCTTTTCTGCCTGTGGAGGGCGGGGTACACTGTCGATGCGGAACTATATCCTGAAGGGGTGCGACGAAAGCTGGAGTGGCTTACGGGTGATTATTTGGTACGCGAGGGAAATGATGAGTATGAACCTTCCAGCAGCGGCTCTTCGGGATAGGGTTCCTAGGTCAACCAAGGGATTGGTAAGGTCCCAGGGCTCTCAGAGCAGGAGCCAATAGCCTTGAGAAGGCGGTAACCGACTGAAGGGAGGCCCGTGGGCGAACTTAGTATGTAGAGGGGCCGGGCTTTTAGAACCTAGTCTAGCTAAGTTAGATAGGTTACGGTCTTCTTGATAAGGGGTCTCCTGTAAGTCGGGGTATAGGGAACGCTGAAGGCTCGAACGAGAAATCCCTCCGAAGGAGGATCCTTGCGAGTTACAGACGTAAGGAATCGGAATAGAGCCCAGCTTTTGTTCCAAGTTCTTTTGCAAGAGGGTAAGTATCAGTCATGCTCCGGCAACGTTTAGAGTACCAAAGGGGGGTTTCTTTTCCTGTAATCAACCGCTTCACCCAAGCCTTGGAGGCCTGGGTGAGGGGGAGTGCGTGAGCTTAAGCCCCTATTTGC